GGCCCGGGGAACGGGGCAAATCGCTGGGCACGCCGGCCCGTGGGCGGCCGCCCTTAGGGATGCTCAGCCTCGTGGGCACCCAAACCCATGAACACCTGAACCCATGGGCACCCATCCCTAGAGATGCTCACCCTCATAAGCACCCAAACCCATGGGCACCCATCTCTAGGGATGCTCACCCTTGTGGGCACCCACCCCTATGGATGCTCAAGCTTGTGGGCACCCAAACCCATGAACACCCAAACACAAAGGCACCCAAACCCATGTGCACGCGCCCCTGTGGATGCTCACCCCCGTGGGCACCCAAATCCATGAACGCCCACCCCTATGGATACTCACTCCCATGGGCACTCAAACCCATGGGCATCCGCTCCCGTGGCCACCCAAACCCTCACAGGCACCCACTTCAGCAGCACCCCTCCCCATGGGCACCCCCCTGCATTGGGTACTCACCCTGTGCACCTGCCCCTACGGACACTCACCCCCCCGGACACCGACCTCACTGAGCACCAACACCCAACCCCACCACGCAGGCACCTCACCAGACGCTCTCACCGGCAAACACCCACTCCGACAGCTACCCTCCTCGGTCAGCATCCTCACCGGCGGGCACCCACCACGCCACCACCGAGCACCCTCGCCAGCACCCACCCACCCACCTGGGCCTTTTCATTTGGGGGCTGGTGGTTCCTCACTCCGTCCTGCAAGGAATCCGGCGGGCAGACACCCCGAGGCTGGCCCAGCCGTCGCCTCCCCGCGCAGGATAACCAGCTCCAGCTCTCACACTTAAAAAGCTAACGCTGTGGAATAAAGTAGGAGGCAAGATTGTTTATTACCGCAAGCAATTTTAATACAAAAATGTGTCTGGTTTTTAAACAATTCATTGGTAGAGCTTCAGTTTTGCCTCAATTTAAACCAATTGAGAGAATCACACAGCAACACGGTCAGAGCCGGCGAGGAACACTATTTAATAAATACCGGGGCTCTGGCGAGCCCTCTCCCCCAGCCCGTCTCCTGGTCACTTGGTCAGTTTGATTTTATTACAAAGAAAAAGTAGCGTACAAAAGCGAGACAGGACTTGTAGCAAGTGTGCTGGTGAGACTCATTTCAAGGACAAGCAACTGTGCGTGTAAGTCCAGATTTCTTCTAGGAGCAGAGGTCACATCAATCTCAGCCTGGTTGGAAGTGGAATGACCAGTTAAATAATAAATAGGAAAAAAAGAGATGCAGATAAATAGCGACTCTGTAAGGAACACCTTGGGTCGGTCTCTTAGGCCTTCAATCCAGAAGAATCCTCTAATTTGTAGGACCCGCCACCGCTACGGGATGCATCCGAGTGAGCCAGCCCCGCGATCTTACCCGCGTGCTCTCCCCCGGCCGCGTGAGCCCCCTCCCCAGCCCCGCACCCCCTCTTTGTTCTTTAAAAACGAAGTGGTCGGGACAGGATTTTCAAGACAGCAATTGTCATGACCTTCGCTGTAGTGTGTGCAAATTTTATTAAGTCAAACTCCGCTTTCTTCAGGTAAAACCACGTAGCTTTAAAAAAATGGAAACATAAACCCCAAGTCCCCTCACCTCATGTTTCTCTGGTTGAGGTATCTGTGATTTACAAAAAGAGAGTTCCTTGAACACTGTAGGATTCAGGTCTTTGTTTTTAAATATAATTTACCTTGCTGAGACAGCAAGTTAAGTTTATAAAGATGCATTTAGGAAACAATCCTAAAAGATAAAGCAGGTTCGCACCCTGCACCGCGCAGAAATCCTATTTATATTTTAGTTTTTCTTTACACTTTCACATCTTGACCTTTTTTTGCTTCCTTTTTTTTTTTCTTTTTCTTTTTCTTTTTTTCCTTTCTCTCCCACATTTCAGTTTTCCAGGCCCCTCTCTAAACAGGGGTCACCGAGAGGCAATTTTTATCTACATAAATATTCACATGAAAATAGTAACTTACAAAAAAGGAAAAAAAAAAAAAACCCAAATAAGGCAGCTTCATAACACAACTTTCTTTTACACTTTTAACAATATAGTTTCTCCCATTTAGAATAAATATACATCCAATGTACGTAGCAGGGTTAAAAATTGGACACAGGTTGGGTTTTCTTTCTCTCAGGAGGGCGTGGGTACAGTATTATCTTTTAGGGCCTGGAGTTTTCGGGGTGGCAGTGGTTGTTTTCTTGGACATGGTCGGGATTTTGGAGGGCTTGGCCATTCCCCGGCGCGAGCCGCCCTGCCCGCCGGCCACGCTGCTCTCCGAAGTGTCCGAGCACGCCGACTGCGTTTCCAGCAGGTCAAAATCGGAGGCGTCGCTGCCCCGCCGGCTGCTGGCCCGGCTGCCCGTGCGGCTCCCGGCGCGGCTGGTGGGACGACTGGCTGTTTTTTTGGGATCTGCAAGGGGAGCCGAGAGCGCTGTGAGCAGGCGGAGGAGGAGGTGTCCTCCCCATCCCCGGACCGATCGGCACCCGAACCCCCAGCACCACCGCGGCTACGTTCAACCACCCGCCCAGCACCCCTGAAAGAGGGGGTTCAGCGCCAGGACCAATTCATTCCCGAGCTTTTAACGAAGCAGCAGCAAGCCCTGGCACTGCGAAACCGCTGCAGCATCCCCTCTCCCGCGCAGGGACGCGGCGGCGGGCATCGGCCTCCCCAGCTCGCTGCGGGCTCCCTACGTATTGAATATTTTCCCTGCCAGTTTAAGTAACCAAGTAGGAAGAGCAGCAGCAGGAGTTTTTCAGTCTTTGCACCTAACGTACCTGCCCGACTGGTTTTGGCACCTGTAGAGACCGGTGAGGAGCTGTTACTGGTGTCCCCAGCCAGGGAGGTGCGGCTGGAGTGGAAGGTGGGTCGCTTCAGCTTGCTGCCCGCGGAGGGGGTCACCTTGGGAGGAAGCACACGCAGAGCATCTTTTAGGGGGCACCTGGGCCGTAACGGGCCAAGATCAAGTCCGAGATCAGCACTTCGGCAAAAGGGTTTTGACATTTGGGAAACACCCATCTTAACGGTCAAGGAGAACACAAGCTGTCCTTTCAGCAGTGGTTAATAAAAAAGAAAAAAGCCTGGATCCTGAAAATTTGGAGGGCGATGGCAGTTTGTGTGCTGCAGGCTGATGCACAGCTATTTGTTGGGAAAAAAAATAAAAGCAAAGCTGCCATCCATCGGAGGATGACAGCACCTTCTGGGCTCAAAAGCTGCAGAGAGAAAGTGAAACCTTGCAAAAATAGGTATTTTAGCATCTAAGCAGCTCAGGACCATTGTGGGAGGTCAAATATAATGCAGCGTCTTGAGAAACGCATCCCGTTGTAGGGAGGCATCAGCGCAGGGTGATTCTGCGAGGTGGAGGGACGTCGCCGGTGCCGGTGCCCCGGCCGGGTCCGTGCACCCACCACCCAAGGGCAGCCGGATCCGAGCAGCGAGCCACCAGCGCTGAACAGGGACACAAAACACAGCGAACCGGCTTCGGCCGCATCCCGAAACGGTGCTTTCCCTGACCTTTAAGATGTTGCAAACACAGACGGAGGGTGGAAAAGCAGCACAACAGGCAGCTCCGCTCCCGCCGCTGCGGAAGAAAGCGAAGGGGAAGGTGCCGGGCAGGGCAGGGTGCCGGCAGGGCGAGGGCACCTGGATCCAGCTGGAAAGGGCAGCTCCAGTTTCCGTACACCAGCCAAAGCGCCGGGTTCGGGGCAGCGCGGCGGGAAGCGACGGCCCGGGGTGTCCCCTGTGCCGCAGGGACGGCACCCAGCTGTGCATTAACACTGGAGGGCATTTCCCCATGAGCTTTAAAGCAACAGCTGGAGAGGTTTCCCTCCACCCCCTGCGATTTTGTGGTTTTTAGGAAACTTGGAAATCTTGCAATGTCATGAAACTGGAGCTGCAGCGGGGGAGAGGGCGGTGGGAGAGGGGCAGCCGAGCAGCGGGCTCCCCTTCGGGCGCCGGGGGAATTAAAATCCATTAACACGTGATTGCAAAGGTACCATTTTCATCATCAGGGATTTCGATTCTCGTCCTTGATCCTATTTTATAAACAAGTTAACAGCAGCAAGCAGGCAATTTAGGGCAACTGGGGAAGTGCTCCTGACCCGATGATGATTTAAAAATAATTCCTTTTCTGCGTGAAAGCACCGCCGAGCAAGACGCGGCTATCTTGCCAGCGCACACCACCGCTCAGTGAATCACCGAGATCCACCAGGTATTTCTCATCACCGATTCACAAGGTCAGGGAAGTCCACGAGGAAGCTGAAACTTTAGGGAGATCAAAGTCTCAGCCTGAATTCCTCCTCCTGGGAGCATCAAGGCGGTGGCAGTGCCGGACACACCATACGTGCTTCAACACGGTGATAAACACAAGCGCTTCATAAAAATGAAGGCGGTGTGGTTACTGTGCATGCGCTGTAGCTGATTTTCAAGTCTCAACTCGGCTGCTGGATTTCAATTTTTGAAAGCCGAACACGGCTGCTTTTCAATGCTTAAAAGCTATTAAAGCTTGGAAAATGTCTTTTTTTTTTTTTTTTTAAAGCACAAGAGGATAAATGTCGCGCTCTCAATTTGAAAGCGGGGACATCTGAATCGCAAGCAGTTGCGCTCTATTCTAAAGTCGATGTTTTATTTAATCCGAGTTAGAAACCCATGAAAAACGCTAACAGTCGGAGCGTTAGCGGTGCTAACAAGCGCTGCTCTACCACAAGGAAAGCGTTAAAACAGGCAAGGGAGCAGGACTTCTCCGTGCCAGCGGCACTCCGGCCTGTCGGCAGGTCCTCGGGGCTGCGAGACCATACTCTACCTCGGCGCTCGAGAGCTGGAAGTCGGAATAATCGAATCCCCTCAGGGGGGTGCCCGCTTTACTGTTTATCAACCAGGGTTTGTCATAACATCGAGAGAAGTGATGTGGAGTCTGTGAAATGGAAAATCCAAGGAGGGGGGGGAAGAGGTGGAAGTGAGTGGAAAAAAAAAGAAAAAGAAACGGGAATGTATCTGGAATGGGGAGAAACGGCACTAAAATGAAATGAGAACCAAATAGGAAATATATAAATTAAAATCAAGGGGAAAAACCCAAACAGATGACAAAATAAAACATGCATGGGCAGACGATGTGGTGGGAAAGGAGAGACGACGGGAGATGGCTTCCTCCTGGGCGCCAGCCGGGCACCGCGGCTGTGGCACAGCCCTGCCTTGGGGACCGGGAGCCTTCGGCTGCATGGCGAGAGCCGGGGACCCTTCCGCAGAGCCATGAGCGCCCAGCTTGGGCTGCAAACCTGTCCTGCACCATCCCACCCCATCCATCCCACGCGGACAGCAGGGTTCTTCCTGCAGACACCGTAACAGCCTCCAGAGACCACAGTAACCACCAAGCCCCTGATCCCCAGCCTTCCTCCTCCTCCTCCATACACCTCCTGCAGCTCCTCTTCTCACCAGGACGGGTTTGGAGGCCACCAGGTTCCAAAGGAGAGGAAAGAGGAAGGCTGCACGCGCGAAACCCACCTTGGCTCCGCTGGCTGGAGTTGCGGGAGAGGATGGCATGGAGGCGCAGCTGTGGTTGCTCTGGCTGGCACTGGAACTGGATCGTGTCGGGGAGGCTGCCCGCGAGGACGGTTTTGATCTTCGGCCTCGTGATCGGAACGGTGTCATTCCTTGGGAGGCTCCCTCCGGCAAGATGAATTTCTCTCGGAGCTCAAGGTTGGTCCGTCCTCGTGCTGGAAGGGGACAAAGGAGAGAAGAGCTGAGGTTCACGTGAACCCGATGTCGCTACCGGGGCGCAGGAGGCTCAGGGTTGGAGTGCGTGTCCTTGCAATGTCCCATCTCCGAGGGCGAGTGGATGGATGCGAGATTGTCCCGGCTCTCTTGCCCTGCCCTAGCCACCTCCTGCCACGGATCAGCTCTTTGAGAAACTGCCTGATTAAAAGCTGCCTGAGGCCCATGAATTCGAACTGGATGGCCTATCATTCTCTAGTGTCTTGGGGAAAGCAAGCCCGAGGGCCTTTAAACACCCCGCGTTACAACAATGTCACCTTTAACATAGCTTAAAAATAGGAAAAGCAGCTTTGAAGGGTTGTGATTCTGCTCTCTCACAGCTCTGGGCAGCTCTTCACCAATTTTGGGGGAGAGGGGAGAGAGAGAGAGAGAAGTGACCACCACCCATTAAAAGCCAACTTTAAAATTTTCATCCAAACGCCCCAAAGAGCTGGAGGGTCTCCCTTTGACAAGCAAGGGGCAACCAAGCAGGGAGAAGGTCTGTGGCCTTCAGCTCCCGGACCAGCTGACGCGCGCCAACATGGTTCATACTCACGGCAGCCAAACAGAGAGCAAGGGCAGGCATCGAGCCCTACGGGACACGGGAGCGACTTTGGTGTTGATGCATTACGGACCAGAAAACCAAGGAAGCAATTCCAGAAGGGAAGCGCCATGCTGAGATTACCAAGGGATGGAAATAACCTCCATGTCAGCGCTGTAAAACAGCTGCTGCAAAGCACGAACGGGGGAGGCTGGAGGAGCAGGAAAACCCTGAAGGTTCCCCGAAGCAAGCGGCACACGCGGTAAATCATGCTGCTTTCAGCAACAGCCATTAGACAGCAGGAGCAAAGAACGGTTAAGCAGCAGCTTGAAGAAGACATATCTGAAGCAATTAACATCTCGGAGACCCCGGTGAGACAGGGACATATGGAGTACAGATATAAGCTCTCCAAAATACGCAGTGGGCTGCGTATTAAATGCTCCTTTCCTTCTGGAGCAACGGGGCAGAAAGGCGGGGTTCTGGGCCCCTCTGACGGGTGCCTGCTCTCCTCTTTGCCAGAGCAGAGCTGCTCATCCCACCGTCCCCCCGCGAACGGCACTGGGGGACGCTCCGGCGAGGGCTCCCCGCTGCGGGAAGCGGAGATCGGCATTTCTGATGGGAGAACACGTCAGACTCCTGCTTTTTTGCACCTTGATGCACTTCATTCCTGGCCATCCTTGCTCATCCTTCACTGTCCCCTGGTCGTGGCTCTTGGCCAGCCGCAGCAGAGCATCACTTCCATCCCAAAAGCTCTCACCACGATAAAACCTCAAGACTGAAGGTTTTGGAAAGGAGGCGATCCTGGTTCTCCGTGCCCACGGTATACGACCCTGGTCTGCGTTATCCCAACCATCCCTTCCAAATGCGTCCCACCAAACCAGCTCCAGCAAACACTGCTCAGCCCTAAAAACCCAAGATCTCGGTTTTTCTTCCCTTCTCATGTGCTGCTGTGTTTTCCTTACGCTCAGTTTGTCCAAGAGCTTCTTGCACTTGAATTTTCCTGCCTTAATGCTGAACTGAAACACCTTTTCTGTTTCGCTGCCGGGCTGGTCAATCCCTGGGACACACGTGTGCAAGGTGATGCTTATCGACACGCGTACAGCAGGGCGCGGTGCTCAAAATCCCCCACAGAAATCCAACCCAGCCCTGAACAGCCCCAGGGACAACGATGTCTAAATGCAACCCTTTTACAACTCAAATCTGGCACGTGGCAATCCAGAAAAAAGAAGGGCCACGTTTCCACCCTTCTGGGCAGAGCTGGGGGAAGAAAGGTAATTTTAAGGCACTAGAAGACGACCCAGCACCGTCAGCGGCTCTTGCTGCAAACAGGTATTTAAGTTGCACGGTCCTGCCCAGCTCAGGATTTCCAAATTAATTCCTTACGCCGCTGCTCTAAAGACAACAAATGAACTGAGAAAACTTGCATCAGAAGTGCATCAGAGAGAAATCAAGTTGTTCAAAGTCACAGGAGAAACGTCTCCTCGTTCACTAGGACAGGGCTGGACCGGCAGTGCCCCGTGGCCACAGCCCAGTGCGGCCGTACCAGGGGTTCACGGATCCTGGGCCGGAGCACCTTCTCCCCAGAGCATCTCAGACCAGGATTTTACCATCTCCTGGCTTTGAACCTTTTCAGTTCACCTTTACGACGCTTACTGCATCATCCGCAGAGCCCACGTACGCACCGACCGCTTCAAAGGGACGCCGAGACCCCCAGCACGGCAGTGCAGCTCTACTCGCTGGGGTCTTAAAAACAAGAAACACAACCCTTCCCTCTTTTCCTCCCAAGCCACTTGGCTAACCGCTGTGAGATTTGCTGCAGCATTGCCAAATCTCGTGATTTTAAGTTCTACGGTTTGCTTCGGATCTGTTTTCTCCAGCTCCCGCGTTATTCGGATAACCCAGACCCGCTCCTCTGGCACCTCTGGCCATTCACCGTCACAGCAGACAAGTTCTCAAACTCCCCTTACTGGGCAAGAAGATCCCAGGAATTGCCTTACCTCTGCAAGGATCATTCTTCACTAAAAATTCATCCAGGGCCATCCACCCTCCGCCGACACGGACCATGACCGTGCTCCGCAGGATACGGACCAGCCGCAGCTGCTGGGAATCGCCGAACTGCGGAGCCAAGAAACAATTCAGAGAAGGGGGGCACAACGAGGGACGCTCGGCTCCTTCCCGCAGCAGGCTGCACCAAACGCTTCTCTTGACCTATTCCATACTTTTTAAGGTTTCTCCAGATAGGTTCTTCTGGAATAAGTGCAGGCTAGTACCAATTTACAGGAGTTTTTCTGCTGCGTGGTTTTAAAGTGATAAAACTATCCAAATCCTTTACTTTTAAAGCTGGAAAGAGAGAATTTTTTGAGAGCAGCAAATAAGAATTTGGAATTTGGTCTTTGGATGGGTTTTCTCAGCCAGAATTGTAGTTTTTCCTTTTATTATGAAGGAAATAGGGGCTGGCAACGCATTGCCCCTCCTGGTGCAGCCCACGTGGAAAAGAGCCGGCTGCTTCAGATCACTGAGTGCCGGTGAATCAGCGAGGCAAGCAGTGCTGCATCACCGCTGAGCGAGAAACCTCTCATCATCAAGTCTGAAGTCCAGGGATTTCACCGAGCCTCAGACTTGACCCCACCAGCCAGAAAGCCCCCGCCGCAGAGATCGCCCAGCGAGGATGTTTTGGTGAGTGCAGAGTGATGGGAATCCAGGCAGGAATCCCGCAGCAATGTTGATTAGTGATTGCAATGTTCATTAGTGATTTTAAACACCTGCAATTTCCAGCAAGTGCACCCTGAATCAGAAGCATGTGTCTGTTTTTCAAAGCTCCCTAAATCTCCCGGACAGCCAAGCCCAGGCTCCTGGTTGCCCTCTGCGTGGGGCAGGCGGCGGCAGAGCCGGGGCGGGACACCGGGAGCCTTGCTCGGATGCAGCAGCTCCGCATCCAGGGCTACAGAGCACCTGCTGTGATGAGAAGATAGGGGAACCAGCCTTGGAAAGCAAGACCATCTTCAGAATGATTAAAAAAAGGGAAAAAAAAAAAAAAAAAAAAAACCAGCAACATTTCCCCGAGATGATAAAAAAGGGACAAACTTGGAAAGCAAGACCATCTTCAGAATGATTAAAAAAAGGGGAAAAAAAAAAAAAAAAAAAAAGCAGCAACATTTTCCCTGAGTGGATAAGAACGGACAAATCAAGAGATTAAACGAAAACAGAGAGTGCAAAGCCACACTGAGATGGGTTGCGGCAGGCAGAGGGGCAGGAGGTAATAGCATCTCCGAGCCTGCTTCCCGCGGGGACCTGGGACCCTGGACCGTGCGCTGGTGGGTCTCCCCGCTCGGGGTCCTACCAAAACGCGCTTGCCCCAGCGCTGCGGTGATAGAGCTGCCGCAGCCGCGCTCGGCACGGCCACGGTGTCTGCGGGCAGGGAGGAGGGGAGGGGAGCGGAGCTGCCTTCCCTCTCTCCGGGTTCTACGCAAGGTGTCCTTCAAGAGCCTGTTCTGCACCAGGGAAAACCAGGGACATGTTAATTCTCATTTCCACTGCCGCATTTACATTAGTTTTCAGTTGCTATTGAAAATGTCTCTATAACCACTGTCTAAATTAAAGCCAGAGCTCTCTTGGATCCGTTCACTCCCAACAGCCAGGTTTGTTTCTTGTTGGGCATGTTTTTGGTGGGGCACCATCATTTCACGTGAAAAATAGGCTTTTCTGTTCGAGCGGGGGCAGTGGGCACATCGTAACGAGATGTGATGCTCCGGTCCCGTTAAAAAAAGAGCTCTGCCCCCAAAACCAGCCAGCACTCACGCACGCTGCACCGCTCCTCTCGGGTCACGACAGTAATGGGGATACATGCAGGTTTTGCGAGCCTTGCTCCAGTTAGGAGTTACTCAGGGGGTGTAGCGGGGATGAGGGTTTAGTTATCGTTACCTACGGGATTAAAGGGGTGGACTCGGAATTCTCATCCCACAGCGATTGCGATCCAAACCCACCAGAGCCTGGTATAGCCCTCGTGCAGGTAGCTGTACCCCCGCCGTCTCATCTGGGCTGGCCGTTCCCCGAGGGAGGGCAGTCCCGGGCATCGGCCCATCAGCATCCCAGCGCTCCCCGCCGCAGGGTGCCGTGACTTGCCACTGGTTACCATCAACATCCCCGACATATCCGAGAAAGGAGCCACGGAGAGAAAAATCTCTCCATTTTTGTCAAATCCTGCTTTTTCCATTGAATTTTTCCCTTTTTTCTGCCCAATGCAGTCTTTTTTTCGGGCGGCCCTCCCAGCTCAGGCACTCCTCTGTACCAGGCTCTGCTGAGCAGCGCTCACAGATCACGTCCTCCCACAGCAACAAAGGACAGAGCAGCGTCACGGACACACAAAGCTACGTTTGTTAAAAAAACAAAAAAAATAAACCAAAAAAAAAAAAAGAGGTGAGAGACAGGATCGCAAGGCAAACTGTACCTGATTGCCGAGGAAGAACTACGGAGGGAGAGGAGTTGTGGAGGGAGAGGGGATGGGGGGGGAAGGAAAGTCGAGAGGAAGAGGAGGGGAAAGAAAAACAAGAAAAACATTTATGGGATTAACGGTGCAATAATAACGAAAACTGTTAACTGCAGGTAGTTAGAAATCTGTGGGGTTTATGCTATTTGGGTGTAAGGTAGAAGTTCGGGGAGCCTGGGGCCGGTGCGGCCGGGGGTGGCGAGCGCTGTGGCTTGGCTCTTCCCGGCCGGAGCATCAGCCCTGAAAACAGTGGGCAGGAAAGCGGGCAGCTCTGCTGCCAGCTCGTTTCACCAGTTCACCTCGGTGAACGATTTGAAACATAAACAGCCAGCCCGTTACAAAGAGATTCTTTAAGGAAATTATTCTCCTTCTTCGGGAGCGAGCTAAGAAAAACACAGGCGTAAGGTACACTCATCCACGAGGAAAACTTCAAGGGCGGCTGCCCGCGGAGTGAATGCCGCGTTTCACGGGGCCGGTGGGTTGGCCGCCCCAGAACAGGGCCACTTTTATGCTCTCCCGATTCGGGGAACGCCCTGGGGCTGAGGACGGTGCTGGGCAAACCCGGCCCGGCCGCCCCTGCCGGGAGCCGGTGTGCCGGAGGACGAGGTCTCCGTCTCGCCCCAGGGAGCCCAGGGGGGTCCCCCCGCGCCAGGCCGGGCACCCCGTCGGTGATCCCCCCTCGCCCCGGGTGGGAAGGGGGAGCGGGATTTGTGCCGCCGGGGCAGCGTTCGGCCCCCTCTGCCTTACCCGGTATTTGTTCTCGCCGATCTGCTCCACTTGAAATCTCTTGGCACACTTGCACTGGGCCACTTGCCTGGTGACCTGCCATCACCAACAAGAGAGGTAAGGGACCAGGATTTTGGGAGTCTCCCCCAATACAAGGCACTGCTTGGGTAACACACAGCCTTAAGCAGCCTTTCCTTCAAAAACACGGTAGGTACTGGTGGTAACAGCCAATTATTTTGGCTCAGCACCACCACAATCCTTTTTTTTCCTCCTTTTTGTCTTCCCCACTGCCAACCTGCAGCCTGAACCACCCCACACCCTCGAGCACCCATCTCTGTTGGTGCTTCACCTCATCTTCGATCTTGTCGGCATCAGTGGTGGGGCGGTAGGCATCCTTGTTGGGATGGAGAGCAGCCACAAACTCATAGTAATCGATGTAGCCGTCGCCGTCACGGTCAAAGATGTCGGCCACCGCAGTCATCTCCAGCTTCGTGGTGGGGAATTCTGGAAGGAGGGAGAAATGAGCAACCGATGCAGGGACCTCACTCATCAGAGCTGGGGATGTCGGAGCACTGTCTGCATCTCGGTCCTCGAGGAGGGACAAGCTCGTCACACCAAGGTGGCCATTTTCTGAGCTTGTTTTAGGTGGGCAGGGACTTACTAGAGGCCAGGATGCCATCGATGAACTCCTGCCGGGTGATCTTCCCATCTTGGTCTTTGTCGATGCGCCGGAAGAAGTCCATGACGCGGGATTTCTTGTGGTTCATCCAGCGCATATACTTCTTCCGCCAGACATCGAAGTCGAAGTTTGCAAACTCCTTCAACTGGAAGGAAACCAGTGAGAGTCAGCGGGGGAAATCCCTGAAGGAGCAGCACCCCCGGCTCTACAGCACCCTAAAACCTTCAGGTGAGCCCATGGCCGAGCTCCCGATGCTAACGCCCACTGCCCGCCCTCCCGGGAAGGTTTATCTGGGTTTATCCAGACGACTCCCGTTAACGAGGGGGCTGCTCAAATCGACTTTCCAGAACAGAAGGACACACAGCGTAGCCGACAGCCACCACGTGGACCGCGCATCACGGAACCATCAACACGGGATGCAGCATCCCCCCCGGTGGTATACGAACACATATGCGGAGATATCAGCTACTTGCACACGGACACACACACACCCCGTCTCTGCTCGGGCGTTTGGGGATGCTTCCTCACCCAGATTTCGCCTAACGACTCGCCGGGCTCTGCCCGGGGGGAATACCCATTGCCGGCACCATTTTGGGCACGTCTCCCCTCTCCCTCTCCCTCTAAGCAGCCAAGAAGGGATTTCTTGCTCGTCTTCCAGGTAAGACAGCGGCTGGGGCACTTCTCAACTCTGCAAACCCCAGCCCCGCGGCTCGGCCACCAGCCTCTGACGAGCCACTCGCCCACCAATTTAAACCAACACCCTTCTTATCCCCCCCTCAAAGGGCTCCCATGACCCCAGCAGCTAAAGCAGCTCAGGTAATGCAACAATTTTTAGCATGTTTCTTTTTTTTTTTTTTCCTCTAAACATTCTTGGAGTTAAGAGCAACAAAGAAAAAACATTAATACGGATAAACTGAACTGACCTACAGCAAAAGCAACAAAAAACAAAAACACTCACTTCTGGGCATAGCTGCTTTGTTAAGCATAAATAAAAACAAAAATTACATTAGATGTTTGGAAAAGATAGAGACAGTAATTGTTAAACTAATTGCTAGGAGTAAAGCAGGCCTGGCTGTCGTTACCTCTACAGATACTGACTGCAGGGGCACAAAGCAGTTAATTAACGTGCAGTTAATTACAGAAGGTAGCTTTCAGCCTTAACATTTTAGGAGTTATTTTTTTCTTTTTCTTTCGGCATTTTCAGAAAGGCAGCAGAAACTGCCTGCAAGAGCCGGGCAATTCAAGAGGCAGCACTAATTTAAAACGCTTCTCGCGCCTCTCCGGCGAGCAACCCCCGGCACGGCTCCCCCCCAGCCCCGAGCAGCCGGTGGCCGTTACCTCCTCCCGTCTGTCCAGGGCCTCGTTTCGCTT